TCACCATCCCAGGAAGCCTCCCTGAGAACCAGGCAGAGAGAGGGAATGGGCTCTAAAAGGAGTCTGAGCTGCCTCCCCTACCTCCCTGACGTTCAGGCTGTGTCCACCCATAGCCCACTCTGCCAGCTCTCAGGCAAGGAGCTTTCTGCCCTGCCAGCTTGTGTGGTTTGGCCAGAGCCCAAGGGCGAGTCTCCTGCAGCCAGGGCCTCCCTCCCTGCTGCTGAGCAGGCAGGTGCAGGAGGAGCTGGGAGGGGGTGTGTCCCCAGAAGAGGCCTTTGGCAGTGGCTCTGGCGGGAACAGGGGAGGAAGGAGAGATTAGCACAGTGAACAAAGCAGAGACCAAAGTGTTTTGACTTAAAGAAGCTGAACGCAACCTGTTCTCTTGCTCAGGGAAGGACAGACCCAGAATGGGTGGCCCCCAGGAGAGGGAGGGGAGGAGCTAGTCAAAGCCAGTCCTGCCGGGGTAATGACACTATCTCATCTATTGCTGTGCTGAGCCCTTTACAGAGATTATCATATTTGATCTTATGAGAACCCCCACACAGTAGGACTTATTATAGTCCCCACTTTACAGATGAGAAAGCAGAGAGAGGGAGATACTAGTCACACGGCTGGTAAGCAGCAAAGAAGGATCTGAACCCTCTGAGCTAAGCAGCCTTATTCTTTTAAGAGGTGGCAACATGACAACTTTTATTCCCAATGAGTTTAGACCAAGCAACCAGAAACACTATTTTTTCCTCTCTCAATTTTCCTCCTCCTCTGGCACAACAATTTTGATCTGCAGCTGAGAGAGCAGGGTAAAGAGATTAGCAGCCTCAAGTTCTCTCTGTCCTGACCAGAAAACTCATCTTTTGTTACAGAATGAGCATAAGAAATTATTGCAGAATGCTTATACCTGAGCTGGTAAAGTGAACATCATGTGGAGGAAGTTTTTTTTTTTTTTAAATTCAAAGTAATATATATGGAGGAAGTTTCCAGAAAGTTCTCATGAAATATCCAGCGGGGCTCATGAAATGCTGAGGCTGTTGGGGTGGCCACTCCAGTGCCTCCAAGGCACCCGAGGGTGACATCTGTAGCTCATGACACAATCAGCTCATGTTTGCTGTGGTCAGCTGAGGGCCACCAAGGGCCGTGATCTGAGTGTCAGTTGGGCAAGGGGCCACAAGTGACAGTGATGTGGAGGTTATATGCTCAATTTGTGCTAAACTTGAAAACACTGCATGGAGGTACTAAAGAGTAGGGAAGATTTAACATTTTTAAAAAAGATTTATTTATTTACACATAGAAGAATAGGGGTATCGGCAGAGGTGTGTGTGGGGGGTGAGAGGATTCACCAGAGACACAGTAGGGAACAGAACAGGCAGACTGACTGAAGTACACTGCTGAGGGGAGCAGCGGGCGAGACAGGAGAGGTCTGCTGCGCCATGTGGGTCAGCTCCCTGGCTGGATAGAACTCAGTAGTGGTGATAGCGCTGAGACTTAACCCCTTGGCCACCAGGGAGGCCCAAGATTTAACATTTTGAAGGCCACCTTGGATTATTTTGCTTCTTTCTAGATATGAATTGCACTTGTATTTAAATATCTAATAAAGGGGCCTCCCCGGTGGCGCAGCGGTTGAGCGCTGGGTTGAGAAGCTGCCCGCAGCCTCTGCAGCGCTGGTTCGATCCCCGGCTGCTCCCCGGCCCCTGGAGGAGGGTCCCGCATGGTGCCAGACCTCTCCTGCCGCCCGCTGCTCCCCTCAGCAGTGTACTTCAGCCCTTCTGCCTGCTCTGCTCCCCGCTCTGGCTCTGGTGAATTCTCTCACCCTCCCGCACGTCTGACCGTACCCAGTGCTTGCATAAATAAATAAATAAATTAAAAAAAAAAAAATAAATATCTAATAAAGGCTAATACAGGAATGAGGTCAGAATCAAACAAATTGCAATGATGGGATCTTAAGTGGTAAAAAATTCTTAAGGCTAGATTTTAAAGACAACTGCTCTCTGAAGCCTTGCCAGCTGGAGGTCCTGAATCTCTGGCTGCCTGTGAGCATCCACCTCCCTCAGGTGCACAGCTTAAGCAGCCTTCTTGCCCGGGTGGAAACGGGAATGTGGTGCCATCCACCCACTCAGGATCCCTCATCTTGGTCCTTGTGTGTGGGGGTGGGGCTGGTTCCCCAGGATGCCTCCCACTCTCAGCACTGCCTGGAGCTCTGGGAAAGGCAGCAGAGCCAGGGTTGGGGCTGGGGTGGAATGACAAAGCACACTGAGACAAGCCCTGGCTCAGCTCACGGCCAACTCCCAGCCCAAGACTATTTGTCATCCAGGGCCTGGGGCAGTCAAGTCAGGAGCCTACCCTGCAGGAGTCCCACTAAACCAGCCCAGAAGTCACACCCCTTCTCTGGGCCTCAGTTTACCCATCTGTCAATGAAGAAATGGGACCATCTCATTTTCAAGCTTTTAAAAGTCCTTCCAATCCAATCTACTAATCCAATATATAAAATACACAGATACACCATTGCCAATATCACTGTCCACTTGGACACCCCCTCAAGCATCATGGTACCCCTGGAGTAAGGTTTCCATGCAGATCATCCACAAAGATTTGGTGGGCTCCACCATCCAGGGGCCCCCAGCAGGTGCTTTTCTCTTTAGGGGGAGGGGTGATTAGGAGAGCTGGGAGAGTCAGGAGGAAATGTCATTTGGATACCAGGAATGTACTCAGAGACTAGAAGATCCAGAGCAAATATTTGTCTTTCCTTTGATGCTCTCCTGAAGTAGCTATTAGTTCTGCCCACCCCACCTCCTACCCCTCCCTCTGGACAGTCCCATCTGGCCCCTGAGATCTCATCTAGGCTGGCTGGGAATGAGAGTGTGCTAGAAAGCTGTAGGGAAAATTGGGGTGGGAGTCAGCCTGCAGGCTTTCCTCTAAATTGAGCCCCCACCAACATTCTCAGTTCATTTTAGGGAGGTCTTGGGCATCTCCATGCTGCTGTCCCCACTGAAGTATCCTGAAGCCCAGGACCCTGTTCTTCCAGGGAGACAATCAGCCACGGAAGTGGGGGTGGGGTAGGGAAGAAGACTCTTCCAGAATGGAGAAACCATTAGCACAGCAGGTGACTGCTCCTGGACGAGGAGGGGATGCTGAGCAAGTTCCCCACAGAAGAAGCTGGATCTGTGGATCAGGGAGGCTCAGAGCTGGTCTCCTTGCTCTTTATCTTGGATCCCTGCCTACAATCAGAGGCTTGAGACTGGGAGAATCTTCTGAATTCTCTCTATTCTGATGTAATAAGAGCTGGAATTCCTGCCTACAGCCATTGAGGTTTGAAAACTGAAAGCTGGCTTACCTCATTCCAGAATCAATGAGATCTCTCTCTCTCATACCTGCGCACACACGCACACACACACGCGCACACACACACATACACAACCTGCATGCAGTGACCAGTCAGGAAACTGATGGGATTGCTGAGCTTCAACCAGTTTCCCTGTTTCTGGGTTACCCCAGTCCCCTCACCCCAGTCCCCACAACCCAGTCTCATGCTTTTGCTCCCCCTCCCTGCCCCACAAGCCACAAGCTTCTATTTTCCATCTAAACCCCTGACGAAGCATGGGCCCAGCAGTCTCAGGCCTCGGCCCTTACCTGGCCCTCATACTGTATAGAAAGAGAAAGAAAAGGAAAGCCAGGAAGTCCATGATTGCCCAATAGCTGTAACCTGGCAGCGGGTAACTGGGGACAGTGCCAGGCGTTAGCAAGAAAAACACACTCAGTCCCATTGATGGAGCCACTGTTCACCCCCTTGCTCCAGCATCCACTCTTTTTCACCAATGAAATGACTTCTTGAATTTCAAACCAGCTACTGGCTGCAAAAGCAAACAATCTGGGGAGGCAACTGCTGCTTTAGCTGATAAGGTAAACCGTGGCCACACACATGTGTGCGCGCACACACGCTTCTCAGCGCCCAACACAGACCACTAGACCACAAGCCCTGAAAGACTTGTTAAAATGCCATTATTTAGCCCCACCCTAGACCTTCAGAATAAACCCCCCTACGTGGAAAAACCGTCAGCATTTAAAAGAGGCCCCTCAGGTGGTTCTTAAACACATTAAACTCAAGTTCGAGTTTAACTAACTTTTGTCAAGTTTGCCCTCCATTCAGAGCTGCCTTTCCAGACAGAAACATCAGTTCTCACTATGGGTTCTGTGTGTCAGAAAATATGAATCTGCATTCGTAGTTCATTCAGCCCTCACAGCAGCTGGGGAGGGAGGCGGTATTTTCTCTGTTTTTTGCAGGCAGAGAGACCAGTAAGCTGCTCAAGGTCACACAGATTACTACCCCCACTACTACCACACACCAAATTAACAGGGCACATTTCTGAAAAGGCCCCAAATCCAAAGGTATTTGGGCCCAGTGGTCTTGTCCAAATGGATCAGAGTCTGGTTTGACATTTTCCAGAACAACCACCAAAAAACCCTAAATCACTTTGATTCCATTTTCGGTCTGAAAAGGACCTAAGTGTCAAACCCATCCCCCACTCACCCGCAGCTCTCCCTAGTAGGCAGGGAAGGGGGCTAGACTACTAGAAATGAGTCAGGCACTGGACAGCTCGTTCATTCACTGAACCACAAACTCATTTATTCACTAACCCCCTACTAAGATCAGGTGCCTGGACTTCCTCTTCCCCACTCCACTCTATTGGGGAGTCTGTTCCAAGCAAATTCAACTTAAGTCCCATCTGCTTTCCGGGGCCTTCATCCCAAGAGGGGTCCCTATTGTGTTCGATGTGGGCCCCACGCCCACTCTCCGCCTCACACATCTGCTGCCACCACCTGCTGTCGGGGTGTTCCAGGCCCGGGAGCACCCTGTCTACAATCAGGGACCTGCCCTGGAGCCCGCGGCCCCCACACGTGTGCAGTCTCGGCGTGGAAGGGCTGGCCGGTGGCGACTCCACGGAGCAAGACGCGAGCGCCCCGTCCACCCTCAGTCAGTCCCTCGGGCTCCGAGGCGGGGGCGCACTCACCAAGCGCCCGGACTTCTCCCTCGCCTTCTTCACTTTCCCGTAAGTGCCCTTGCCCAGGGTCTCCAGGAACTCGTAGCGATGCCGCAGGTTGTGCTTGTGGTGGTGCCGCTTCACCGCCTGCTTCTTCATCAGGGGCTTGGGCGACTTGATGAGCCCGTCGCCCAGGGGCGCGGGCAGCTCCGCGGCGGGGGCAGCGGCGGCCGCGGGGCCGGGCCGGCGCGCCGGGGGAGAGCCAACGACTCCATGGCGAGCAGGCGTGAGCGCGGCGAGGGGGACCGGCCGCACGTCCGCCGCCCGGCCTGCAGCAGCGGCCGCCCCGAGCGCACGCCGAGGCGCGGGGCTCCGACCGGCTATAAGCGGCGAGGCGGCGGCCGGCCACGCCCCCCGCGCCCATTGGCCCGCCCGCCGGCTGTGTGACCGCGGCCGCTCTCATTGGCTCGCCGCCCTCCCCGCTCCCGCGAAAGGTGTCAGCGCGGCCCGGGCCGGAGAGATCTGGAGGGACGGGACAGGAGAGCAGGGGACGCCGTGGGGGCTGCCTGGCGGGCTGGTACTACTGAGGTCTGGGCTTTTCGAGCCTCCCTGGAATTGCTCTTGCCTCGGAGTAGCGCTGGGCTCCGCTTCTGGGTCCCGGTTCCAGTCCCCCGTGGTGCTTCTATTGGTTGCGTTCTCAGCAGCAGGGGACCCCCCCTCCCCGCCAGCTACAGACAGCCGAGTACGTCTCCATTCTGTCATTTGCTTCTCTCAGTCAGAATCTATAAAGTCCCTTTAAGATTATAAGTGGGGGGCCTCCCCAGTGGCGCAGCGGTTGAGCGCTGGGTTGCGAAGCTGCCCGCAGCCTCTGCAGCCGGTTCGATCCCCGGCTGCTCCCCGGCCACAGGAGGAGGGTCCCACATGGCGCGCAGACCTCTCCTGCCACCCGCTGCTCCCCTCAGCAGTGTACTTCGGTCCCTCTGCCTGCTCTGCTCCCCGCTCTGGCTCTGGTGAATTCTCTCACCCTCCCACGCTTCTGACTGTACCCAGTGCATGTATAAACCAACCAAACAAACAAATAATAAATAAATAAATAAATAAGACACGCCTCTAGAAAAATTAAAAAAAAAAAAAAGATTATAAGTGGGGAAGACGATGGAATGGGGCGCTGGCAAACTCGCGCCAAGGGGGGCGGGGGTGGCTAATGGAGATTAACGGAGAGCTGAGCAATTTTGAGTTCTGGGTTCTGAGTACACCTGTCTTTTGTTAGATCATCCTTCACTAGGTTCCCAAAATACATTTCTGGAAATTCTTGCTTTGTCATCAAAGAAGGTTTGAGTGGTTCTCTCAAGATGTGGAATTTATGAACTATTGAAGAGAATGGAAGGCGGTGGGACAAAGGAAAACATTCGGGTGATATAAAGATACATTACACTCCTATTATTTAACTTGGGTCCCAAATGTGTACATAGGGGTCCATCCAAGGCTTTCCTCTTTGCAATCTTGGAGCTGGATGATTTGGCAGGTCACTAGTTTGGGCCGGATTTTTAAGGTCTGGAGCACTGGAACCCTCATTCTGAATCCCCATTTAGACAGAAGTGAGAATATCCATAGGTTCTCCTCCTGCCTCTAAATGTGAAGCATGATGGGGAGAAAAGAGCATTTCTCCTAATTCTTCATGATAACTCAGTCCTGTGGAGGGGCCATGCTACCCACCCAAAGCTCCCACACAGCTGTGAGATGCCCCAGTGCTGGGATCCGGGCTCCTGGAGGGTGATATCTCCAGCTGCGTTTTCTGGGAGCTCTGAGCATCAAGGGCTAGGTCCCCAGTGACTGAATTTTGCGCTTAGTGTCTGCCCAGTTTTCTACTTTCACTGGTTCTTTGATCCTTTCTATTGTAAGTTAGGGCTAGGGGATGGGATCCTTGCCTCCCTTAAGGCTGGAAATCTACCTCCCTCCCTAAATCTGGAGGGCCACAGGAGATAGCCAGCTTGGCATTCTTCCTTCTTTTGGCCTCCCCTCTTGCTCTGGGTATCTGTGAAACAGAATGAGGCCCAGCTGACCTGTTGCCCCCCTTCTTCCTCAGATCTGCATCCATTTCTGGGGACCCAGCTAGCTGGGCTATCCAGACAGATTAAGGTTCTCAAGTGGCATCATGGGTAACGAGATTGGGGCAGGGGTGAGTGCTGGGAGAGCAGAGTTCTTGTCTTGATCAACACCAACCAGTTCTGTGCTTTCCAACAACCGTTTCATTCATTCTCCGTCCATTCTTCATACGAGGTGCTGGAATCTTGGGGACAAAACAGACACAATCTCCACCCTCAGAGAATTCTCAGTTTAGTGAGAAATAAGCAAATCCTACATGGGGGAAGATGTGATCAGAATTGGGAGTGAACAGAATGTCCTTGGGATGTCCAAGAGCGGGGAGCCCCTAGCCCAGAAGGAGGAAGTCGCTCAGGGGCAGCTTCCTGAGGACACAGCCTTTTAAGCTGAGGCTTGAAGGACGGATGTGTGACAATTAGCCAGAAGAATCAGCTTTTCCTTATAAGTACACAGATGAGCCTGAGATCCCCTTTCGGGCTTACTCTCAATTCCTGTGGATTCCTTCAGGTTTCCCCAACACTTAGTGCGCTGCTAAGCACAAAAAAGGTGCCAGGTAGATGCTTATGAATGAAAAAACACACATGAGGAGATTAAAAGACTAGCAGGAGCATCTGTGGGTATGTCCCTCCATTACCAGCTGAATGCGTGATGGCCACGGAGCAGACAGAGCTCTGAACCTCTTCAGCTTCTACAATCCCCCCCAGCTTCCTTTGACCGGTGAGAGAACCCCCACATAGGAAGCAAGCCAAGGATGTCCAAAGGCCCCAGGGAAAAGAGATCTCCCCTGTTGCAGCTGAGGTGCAGCCTGGTGGCCCCCGAGGGGACATAGGACACAGCCTTAGCGGCCTTAGCGATACATGTACCTCTGTACCTCGCTGCTGTCTGTCCACAGCAGACAGGCAACGGAGGCAGACAGACAGACAGAGCCGGAAGAGTTTGCGACTGGGAAATGATCTTAAGTGCTGAAACTCAACTCTTGAATTCCTAAAAGGGAGGTCTGGTGTGTCAGAGCCAGGATGCCCAGCAGGGAGTCTGCTGACATCGGAGACGGATGGGTCTCCGGGAATTCCTAGATCACGTGGTGATGGATCCCTGGCCAAGCTGAGCCTTCTCGATCTGCCTGCCCTTTCTGGGAGGGGAACTTGCCCTCACCCCCACACCCAGTTGTGGATGACGGTCTGCAGGGCTCTGGATAAACCCTTCAGTGAGCCTGCTAGGCACCCACTGGGAAAAGGATCAGCAAAACGACTTCAGCCTCAGTCCTCAGCCCCTTCATAGTTTCCGTGTGTCTATGTGGATCCAGACTAGTAAAAGAGGGTGTTGCTGCAGCTCAGACTAGAACTGCTGAGTGTGAGAAGTGTGGGGTGCTGGCAGGAGGGCAGGTGAGGGAAGCCAAGGCCTTGAAATGAGGTGGGTGGGTAAGGCAGTTTTCCCGAAAAAGAAATACATCTGAGTCTTGAGGGGTGGCTAAGAATTAGCTCCCTGTTCTCAAGAAGTTTACAGTTTAAGGAGAAATCAGATTGTTACAGGGCAGGGAGAGGGGCAGCCCAAACCCCGCAAACCTGCCTATTCTATGTAGGGTTCTGCCATCTGTCGCATCAACACAAAACATATGAGACTTTAATGGGAAGGAACTTTAATACAATTTGGAAACAATACAGGAAAGGCAAAGAATCTAATTTCTAAATGAAGCACCCAAAGTTACCCGTCCCCTCGTGGGTAAAAGTCCATCGAAATGGGATTGGCCCAGAGCAAGGCCCCAAAGCCTGCCACAAGTCTAAAGCATCTTCCAGTGGGACCCACAAAAAAGGGTCAGAAACAACCAGACAAGCCTGGAAGGAAAAGAGCAAAATCAACATCAAGATAAAAGCTGCCATTGTCACCTCCCCACGGGTCTCACCCACATCTGTGTCACCCAGTCCACGACCAAAAGACAGGTGCAGTTTCTTCACATGTCTCTAGGCTCCATGCGCCTCCTCCAGGTCTTCTGGCTCCATCCTGCTCCTTCCTCAGTCTCCTCTGCAGCTTCTTCTTTCCCTGCTCAGCTCCACCCTCCATTTGGGTGGAGCAGGGGACCTGGAACCTCCCCCTTTCCTGGGGACCACCCTGTTACAAGATAAACACACAAATTGATAGATTTAAAGCAGAAGTGGGAAGGACTTCAAGAGAGGTAGTAAGTGTCAGGGGCGCCTGACTGGGCTGGGTCTTCCTCTCCATGGCTCCATAGAGAACCTCCAGGAGGCCAGCTGAGGAGGGGGAGGTGTTTGGTAAACTGTGAGGGATGGAGTGGGGCTCAAGGAGGGAACCTTGGGGGTAGCTGCTGAGCATGTGGTAGGGCAGCAAAATAGAGAATTCAGCTGAATGCCTGGATCTGAGGAGGTAAGGGGCCCTCTCAGGCCCTGGAGTATTTCCTCCTTGAAATTTGGCTCAGGGCATGAGTCCCTCTTCTCCTTTCTCTGAGCTCAGCTCACACCCACTTGCAGCAGGAAACTTCAACTATTTTATTCCCTTACCCCAGAGCTCTGAGAATAAGTTACAACCGTCAGTCACCCGCAGGTGGTGTACAATGCAGCCTTGAAGGGGCTGACCTTCCCCTCTCAGGGGAAGGTAGAAGGGCCTATTTCGGAACTTGCAGTTGGAAGGGGCCTTCCAAGACTGGGAGGTGTGCGGGAAAGCCAGTGTTGGAAATCCTAGAAGCCTTTTGGCAAATGGGGATGCCTGACTCAATGCTGCCCTCTTCTGATCAAACCGAGCCTAGCACGGTTTATGGGTTGATCAGTGGAAACCAACCGTGGGGGTCTATTTTAAGTTATTTTTTTCCTTCAATGAACAAATCATTTGTCCACCTATCCATCTATCCATCCATCTACCCACCCATTCACCTGTTCAGCAAGTATGAACCAATCAGCTATAATAATAGGTGTAATAATAAGTAACATTTCTCGAGCTAGGCTTGGTTCTAAACATCTTAGATATAGTGTCATTTACTACATAGCTTAGAGCAACAGAGCTACTGACAGTTTGAGCCCTAAGGATAGCATTGCTTTATGGAGCCCTACGGGGCTCTGGAATTACAGATGGAAACTGTGAGCGCCTCCAATCTAAGTTCCAGTAAGCCTTATCAGGAGTGTGGGGATATTTTGTACTGAAAACAGCCCTCAAGCTCTTGATT